ATCTCAGGTGATGGGCCAAATTAAGGAATTCTGAGATCATTTATACCAAAAACATTAATACACTGCAGCTTTCCCGAGCCAGAGTTGACTCCATGGAATGAACTACTTGCTCAAGTGAATGAAAACATAAGTAAAGAACGTGTCAAGGTTTATTCCATGCCAAAAGGAAAAGAAAAGAGACACAACCGTTAGGCTGTGGAGCCTTCTTCAGGTGCGTGCCCTTCAGGTATGAAGAAGGCTCCCCAGCCAAAACTTTGTCTCTCTTTTCTTTTCCTTTCAACTTGGAATAAACCTTGACCCGTTCCTTTGCAGCCTGCACATGCTGACACAGCTCCCTACTAGAACTTCAAAAACTTAAGTTTGTTATAAATCTTCCCAAAGTAATAATTCAGGAGAACTCTTGCTTAAGACTTTCAAGAACTAAAATAGCATTTGGAGAGAAGTTCACAACATGCCCCTCTTTATTCATTTCAACTCGGAATACAGTACTTTATTTATCCCCAAGGGGGCAATTTAAGCTCATGGCTGCGCTGTGTGTCTCTCTGTGTGTATGTTTGTGCAGTGCTTCTGTAGCTGTTCTGTTAAATGCAATGTCACAATCACACCCTCTCTTTTCCATTTCATTGCCGCCCTGTCCTACTCTCTGATGACTCTCCTTCCTCTCCCTCTCTTCTCTCTCTCCCCCAGCTCACAGCCAGCGCCTGGTGTCAGTGCAGTCCATGCTGAAGCAGACAGGCCGCTACCGCACCCTGGAGAGAGACCTGATGGAGCTACAGGAGCGCAGGCTCTTTGAGTACTTTCTGGTGGTGGCGCTCCACAAGAAGCAGGCTGGAGCGCCCTACCTGCCTGAGGTCACACAACAGTTTCCCCTGAAGGTGAGAGTGGTTTGCTGGAGCTAAGGGGTTGTTGCACAGTAGTGACGTGTACAGTAATAGCGCATTGGCATTTTGTCAGTGATGTAGTACCGTGCTCATTCACACAGGGAACTCTGTTTGACCTATCATCTATAATCATGAGTGATGGCAGAGTGGTTACCATTGCCACCTTGCGACCCCTGGTTCAATTCTGGAGCTGGGGTGCTATCTGCGTGGAGTTTGTATGTTCTCCCCAGGTCTGTGCCCCAACTAGCTCTGTTGGTAGAGCATGAGACTCATAATCTCAGTGTAGTAGGTTCGTGTCCCACATCGGGTGCAAGGTTCTTTAATAACCTGTACTGGGCAGCAGGAGTATGAGGTAGTGTTGGCGGCAGAGGATCATGTTTCTGTGACAACGGCAACAACACTAGCACTATCTGCGCGGAACAAAGGCCTGGCAATCTACCTCCGTATCCTGCCATGAAAACTCCATGGATAGTGATGGGGGAACTATCCATAGGGTCCCCCTTGAGTCGACACCAATTTAACGGCACCCCAGCCCCGCCCCCCCTCGATGTCTGCTGAGATTTCCTTTGGGTGTTCCATTTTCCTCCCCCAGTTGAAAAACATACTACATAGGTTACTTGTTTTCTGGGAAAATTGGCCCTGGTGTGAGTGTGTGCGTGTCTGTGTTTGTGTCTTCTGTGTGTGCCCTGAGATGGACAGTTCAGGGTTTATTCTGCCTTGTGCCCACTGCTTGCTGGGATTGGCTCCAGCTCCCCCACAACCCTGAGTTGATTGAAAGGGTGAGAAAATAGATGAAATGAAATGCTGGGAAACCAACACTGAGATGGATTCAGATTCTTTAAGTTGAGAACTTTAACTCGCCTCCAACTAGTTCTTAAATGACGTTTATCTGAAGGTAAAGAAGTAATGGGTTTTCAATAACATACTAAATTTTGTTTCCTGAGATGTGTCCAATAAAAAATAACACCAGGATAATGTAATACTATTACCCAGTTATCAAAAAAGGTGCTATGGACTTTAAAGATTGACAATGAGCTATTTGAAAGGCATTTGTGAGATTCGATCTAGTGCTTTCTTAAGTAGTTTTGCTTAATGCTTTAAGTTTCATCAATATGACCAATGACTTATTACTGTAACAAACATAAGACATATTATAATGTTAGCAAGAACAAATGCATTCCTTTGAACAATGTATTTCTTAAGTAGGTCATACCTAAAATTTATTTCTGAATTTTGGTTTATAGTATTTTTGTGTATGGTGACATTAGACAGCTGTTCACCTGATGGCGTCTGGAGAGAAAGGCTGCTTCTGAGGTATAGGAGTGTCAGTGGTGAGTGTGTGGCAGTGTTGGACTCATAGGAAGCTGCTTTTGTGTTAACAGCTGGAGCGAAGCTTCAAGTTCATGCGGGAGGCTGAGGACCAGTTGAAAGTCATCCCTCAGTTCTGTTTCCCTGACGCCAAGGACTGGGTGCCAGTGGAGAACTTTGCCAGGTTAGAGCTGCTTTTCTACACTTCCCTCTCTCAGCTGTGGCTGCCTTTACAAAGTGTGAAATAAATCTGTGGTTAAAAGTCTTTATAGCCATCTCCTTCTCTTTCCAAAAATATCCAGCATTAATACTTGCATTTTTTGTATTTCCTCATGGCTTACATTGTCCATTTTGAACCTTTTACATGCATTCTGGGCACTTTACAAATCTGCCACTGAGTATCTGCCCAAACATTTCTAGGATCACGCAGATCCCAAATATAAATGCTATAAAATTACTGTGCTTCTTAAAAATACATCCCAAGAACTTGGAGACATAGTTTTGCTCATTTAAGATCCCATGGCATTGTTTGTAAAAGCAGAGTTTCTAACATGAGTTTCTAACTTCCGCTGTGGGCTTGCATGAACTGGCTCACCTAAAATTCCCCTTTACTTTAACCTTCACCCTTTACTTTAACCCAATTCACCTTTTACTTTAAGGTGTAGTCATTTCCTCATGGGGTTTGTAGTGGGGCTGCTGATGCATAATGGCAGCCACATGTCAAGGTGAATGTTGTTTTTTAGGCTCAGAAAACATTGATCCTCTCCTATACGTAAAGTGCTTTGGTGTCTTTTGAGATGATGATGATGATGATAATAATAATAATAATAACATCACTTTATTAACCCTATACAATTTCTTGCATTAGGAATTCATCTTTTCGCATACCCCAGCTTGCTCTCCATGAGACACACACACACACAGATAGGGAGAGAGCCTGGGGTCAGAGCGCAGGGTCTGCCGTTGTATGGTGCCCCGGGAGCAGTCGGGGTTAAGGGCCTTGCTCAGGAGCCCAACGGAGTAGGATTCCTCTGCCGGCTGCGGGATTTGAACTGGCAACCTTCCAGCTACAGGCACAGATCCTTAGCCACAGGGCTACCACTTCGCCCCAACCAAGTTATAGAAATGAAAAGAATTAATTCCACTTATTATTTAAATGTAATTCTATGGTTTAATGCTCAATAGCGATAAATAACAGCACTTACACACCTACATTCTACAGCACAATCTCCTGTACCTTCAGATTCTGCATGTAGTGATTTTTGCATTCTGGATTGTTAAAACTACATAAACATAGGAAAACTTATTTATAAAGCATTTGCTAAAGGGCTACAACATATTTCAACCTGCCCTCAAATAGTTTCACCTACAGAGATTTACAGTGTATGATGCTTAAAAACCTCTTTTGTTGTTTTTGTATCAGAAAATATATTATTCATATGGAGCTTACTATCTCGGCTGACGAAAACAAACCCTGTACAGGCATGACACATCCATACCAAAATAATATTTTCAGAATAATGATATTCTCCCCTCTCTTTCAGAATATGCCATTCATCATGAACTGGTTTTTTTACTTAATGCCTTTTCATGCAGTTGTTTGGAAAGATAATCTCTCCCCCGAGGAGACTGTGGAGATTGTAAATGCCGGCCTCATTTTCTTGACTGACAAAGTGTGGCTTGGTTCTCTTTGTTGAGATGATGGTATGGCTTTAAACTCAGTATTGCTTAACCTGTGGGTGACCTAGGCTTAGGAAACATTAAGAAGAGGCCAAAAGAAATACTTTTGGAATTGTTTTTTTAATATGCAATATTAGACTATTTTGGGCTTTTTTTCTGAAAATATGGCAGCAAAGGTTGGAATTGAAACTGCTGCAAGTATGAAGGAAATACTGAGCAAAATGTAGACATCCAGTGTTATGTGTCTGTTGTGTAAGCTCAGGTCATTCTATAACTGTTGCAAATGTTAACTATCAATGTTTACTAGCATTAAGTTCTTAGAAGTAAGTCAGTGTTCTCAGATTATTTTTTTCTCTTATCATTTAGATATCCAAGGAGTAGCACATGTGCGCATTGGCAACATCTGAATGAAAATAATTTATGTGGTTAACTAGGAGTAAAAAGTGTTCAGAACATCGATCTTATCCACCCATCCAATTTCAAACCCAATTATCCAAATCGGGAATGCAGGGGAGCTGCAGCTTATTCTAGCAAACAACGGGCACAAAGCAGGGTACACCCTGGATAAGACGCCAGTCCATTGCAGGGCACATCCAGACACAGACACAGTCTGCGACAGTGAAGCACTACAAAGGGTTGTGGCAGGATTATAGGATATGATTCACCATCAATCAGTGAGATTCACACCATCTTCTGTCGTAATGAAGCCCAATCTTTCATTCAGGATACCAATTATCCCAGCCACAGGACTGTTCTCCCTCCTGCACTCTGGCAAGCGGTACCGCACTATTAAAGCACGGAGCACCAGGCTTTAAGATCAGCTTTTACCGACTGCATCCTTAACAACTCACTGCAATGCCTCGTAACTCAATGCATGTCTGCACTATGCACTTTTTGCACCATGTACTACATATTTATTGTCTCACAACATATTTATTGTTCCTGATGTTATTATTTATTATGTTCGTAATGTACTGTCTACATTGTGTGGTGTTGTCTGTTGTACTGTGAGTATCCTGAGAGATCCACGCGAATTCCAATGTATATGTACATACTGTATGGCGATAAACTCCTCTACTATTACTCTACTTTACACACACAGACTCACACCAATTTTCCTAGACGTCCATTAGCCTACCAGTATGTCTTTGGACTGTTGGAGGAAACCAGTGCAAACACTGGGGAAAAAATACAAACTCCTCACAGGTAGCAGTCCAGGAATTGAACACATTGCTGCAAGGACACAACGCTAACCATTGTGACACTGTGCTACCCACGTCAACTTTATTTCTTTCATAAATAAGTTTAATAATTCCTGTTAAACTAAATACACAAAAGTTGAGGATCAAAGTTCAGGAGGAGGCTGGCCCCAATTCCTATCAATCACCCACTCTACTGTATAAATGGGGACTTTTAGATCAGTGTTTCCTGGAGTTCTCACTCCTTCCATCACCTCCAGATCCATGCCAATGCAACAGCATTGTGTCATATCATGGAGATGCATTCTGAAGTCCAGCCATAAGGACAGGTAGCTGTCCCTGAGGTTTTGTCTGTATCTTCTGATCTTCATAAAATGCATTTTCTTGTGCCAGTGACAGTATTTTGGTAGTGACTGCCGGCACAAGGATATCCCAGAGAGAAATGAAAAAAAAAAGAAGTAAATTTGACCACTTCCAAGTTGGTAGTGCATGCCAGTAAAATGGTTTTGGCTTGGTTTTTCAGCGAAACGTTCTCTTTTGTCTTGACTGGTGAGGATGGGAGTAGGAGGTTTGGATATTGCCGACGTTTACTGGTAAGTGAAAATTTGACTCATTCTAATTGAGTGAAGTAGTGATGCACATCATCTGCTTTGCCATGTAAACTTGCCACAGTGAGTGTATTCTTTAAAACTTCTAGTTCCTGCTCTTTTATTTACATTGCCTGAGTTCTGCAAACAGCTGGGGAATAACTTTCCTAACCTGATGTGACAGGGCTACAGCTTCATCCATACAGAACCTAGGGCAGGAGAGTCCAATCTAGGTCCTAGAGGGCAAGTGTGTCTTCAAAGTTTCAAAGCAGCACCTGAGTAGCTGTAAGAAGCTGTTTAATTGATCAATTTAAGCCAGTAGTCAGCTGGTTTAGCTTGTTAAGAGCGAGGCTGTAATGCAAGGTACATTAAAACTAACATAAAAGTGGTGTCAATTATATACATCTTATTTCTACGATTTAAGTGGAATAAACTTTACTCTCTCAATCTCATTTGCTTAATTCTTATATGAAGACACACATATGCCCCCAGTTTTAAGTTTTCTGCTAACTTAAAACTAAACTGTAAAAGTAGTCTGCCTCAATATACATCTGTGGAATAAGTAGCCTAGAGAAATGTTCCTGCTAACCAAGCCTCACAGACATAGGACTGATAGAAGCCTGAGCACTTGCTTTGTTTTTCTGTGGGTGAAATTACTGATGATTATACAATGGCCAATGGCAAGAAAAAAAGCTCTGATCGGTTAGTCTGGGACTGAATCCATAATGGTATCCTTTCATAGATAATAACAGACTTATACTGTACATCCAGCCATCCAAAACCAAGAGGCATGAAAAGATTTGCCTTTCTGAAGGACCAGGCTTACTGCCTCTCATTTCAAATTTAGAAAGCACACACAAACTTGCATTTCTTTCTTTTACTTAAACAATCCTTTGCATTGGAAGAATTCAATCCAGAGTGTATGTTGAAAAATGCTGAGTCCTAGAATGTACATCATAATGCTTGTGGTATTGTGCCCAGTGACCTAGGTATGATGTCATTATAGCACCATGTGCGTCTTGTGATGTATTATGTCTTCACTATCTCAGATGAGGTCACCCTTGTGTTCTGTTGTCATTGCAGCCCAGTGGAAAGGGAAGGCGTCTGCCTGAGGTGTACTGTATTGTGAGCCGGCTGGGGTGTTTTGACCTCTTTTCAAAGGTAATGACAGTTTCCATGACTGTCTGCAGTGCAGGTTGTATCTCCCAGAAATTGGAGGGGAAAATGCTGGTCTTTGATTGGTCTGTCTAGGACTGGATCAGTATTGTAATCCATTAATGTATAATAACATATTCACACCTCCACAACTCCAAAACCAACAGGCATGATAGCATCAATTGCATGAGGTGAAAGCATTTGTCATTTAATTTATTTGTCTAAAATATTTAGAAAGCACACACTCAAATACTTTATTTCCTTTACTGGAACAATCAGTTGAATAATAGGAATTATTTGCTTTAGGGTGTCTACTGGTGTGTGTTTTTTGGACAAACCTAAGTCAAGCAGGGGCAATAATTGCATATGTATTTCCACTTTAATATCATGGTAACTCTTATTGAGATTATAAATGCTTGATTGTGGTGAACACACCCCCCCCCCAAAAAAAAAAAAAACCAAAGCAACTAGAAAAGATAAAGTCCACACTGAAAAACAGAATTTTCAAATCATGTTTTCTATAACTACCCCGAAGTTTTTTGGGGTTAATTGCGGTGTACAAGCAGAAAGAATGAGTTTCTAAACCACAGTGTTTTTTATAACATCAGTACTCATTAAAGGACTATAGTGCTTAAATATTCAATAAGGAATTATTACCAAAATGTAACATCCTTTTTAGTATCATTATCTTGTGTCATTTTGTTCTGTTTTGGTGTTTAATTTGTAATGAGCTACAAATTTAGGTTGCCGGGAAGAGCTTAGATTGCATTTATGAATGGGAGTCGCTTGTTATAACAATAGAGTATGGTAATAGTGAACACCCGCAGAGGAAATAGAGAAATCCAGTTTCTCCCCAGGGCTGTAGCATAGTTCTTTGCAGACTGCTCTGCAGGAGGGTGGCTTGTGCTGTGTCCCACTGTCCAGAGCTGAGGTGTCTGTGCTGCTCTTTCACAACAGATCTTGGATGAGGTGGAGAAGCGACGGGCGATTTCTCCTGCCCTCGTGCAGCCCTTCATGAGAAGCATCATGGAGGCTCCATTCCCTGCCCCTGGCAGGACCATTACTGTCAAGAACTTCCTGCCGGGCTCTGGGACTGAGGTGCGTGCCCTTGTGCTCCAAAATGGAGCTTGTGACCTTTGTCAAAAATAATGTCAAGGCCAGACATCTTTGTCAGTGAGAGCCTATAGCCATGTCATGACTGATATCAACAGTGATCTCTGCACTCAGTCCAAACCACCCAGGCACAATTGTGAGCAGCATCTGCACACATCTTATTCATATCTTTGCTTTTTCTTGTGTGGGGTTCTGTGTGTGGATACAGTACTGTATATTGAGTTAAAAGAGGCTGGTTCTTGCAACCTAGCCAATTTCTGGAACGTTTTGTAGAAAACCAACTGGCCATTCCTATATATCTGTATTAATTAAAAGGTTCGTCAAGTGTAATTCTTTTTACTACAAACATTAAAGCGCACGGTCTGGGATAAAAATGTAACCCTTTATTTGTTTGATGTGAGTGAGTAAAGGTTTAGGGTTCATTTTACATAAAGGGTAACAGTATAGTCCAGTAATGAAACCTTAAAAGGAGAACTGCTACATAAAGAAATACAAAAATCTATTATTATTATTTTTTTATTAATAATAAAAATAATAATAATATTATTGGGGAGGAGAACAGAATGATGAAGCCAACTCAGAGATGGGGATTATTAGGAAGACATGATTGGTAAGGGCCAATGGGAAAGTTGGCCAGGACAGGGGTAACAGCCCTATTTTTACACACATGCTGAGCTTCAGTAGGTTGCCAGTTGTGAGTTGCAATACAAGGCAACTGAAAACCTAACATCAATGAAAGAGGTCTTGCCTACACCTTACTATAACAACACCAATTATCATCATAAGCCTATTCCATGCTTCCATGATCCTTTGTGGTCTTTTGACATACAGTAAATGAGTAAGGAGTTAAGGTTTATTTTAAAGAAAGGGTAACAGGTTAGCCCACTACTGAAACCTACATAAAGACACATGAAAACGAAATACAAAGTGACCGAAACTTTAACGTCAATAAAAGAGGTATTGCCTACAACTAATTACAACAACATTGATTCTCATCATAAACCTATTCCATGCTTCTGTGACACTAATCCTTTGCATTTCAGCTTGCATTAGACAGCTTGTGCCAGGGGGTTAGTGAATCTGCTGTGCTTTGCCCTGTCCTCAGGTTATTGAGCTGTGTCGACCCTCAGACTCGCGTCTGGAACACGTGGATTTTGAATGCCTGTTCTCCTCACTACAGCTTCGCCTCTTGATTCGGGTCTTTGCTTCCTTGCTATTGGAGAGGAGGGTCATTTTCACCGCGGACAAGCTGAGGTGAGGTGTGGGGTCCCCCAGGGGACTAGAGAACCTTTTTAATTCAGTTTTAGGGACTGAGGTGTATGTGCCTGGGCCATGGTTTTAAGACAAGCATTGGTTCAGGCAAGAGAAGGATAAATGTGAAGCAGAAACATATTTTTGTTCACTTGTGTGTCTGCAGAGGAAGTTAAGAAGTTTTTAATGCTCTTTGTTACAGGAATTATCCAGAATGAACCACACTTCTAATTTTGGTGGATTTGTATTACAACACATTTTTTTGAAGATTATTCAGTCTAAAGCTGTTTTATTTGACCTTGTTAGACCAGCTGGTCAATGTGAATTGTTTAATCTGGGAATTTCTCTGACAGTTTAAAAGAAAGTCTGTGCAATATATTAAAATAAGAGGAATTTCACTTAATTTCATAAACAATAAAAAAAACCAATGTTTTCATCATAGTTTTGTCTGATGCGAAATTCTATTGTCAGTTTAGGAAGAGCTTGACATTCACTTTATACGGTATGTGAAATTCAGTTTGTGAGAAAGTGTCAGGGTCAGTTTCACTGGGATTCAATGATATTCAACTCAATGATATTCAAGGATTGTTTTGCATCATGTACATTTTACGAAAAGGGCAAATTCCACACATTATTAGCAATGCCATTTCCTGTTATCATGCGTGTCAGAATGCCAGAAACGGGATTTTCTAAGAATTCAGCATTTCTCCTGGTTTAATGTGTGCAGAACATTCTGCAGTCCAGATGTGGAGGCAGTTTGGCTGCAGCTAAGCCGTATGATATTATTTAACTTGGCTGATGCTTTTATCCCTGGCAACTCGCAGTTTGTAGGGCAATTGCATTGTATAGCAGGGGACATTTTACACATGCGGTTAAACATGAAAAATGCCTTAATGCAAAGCTGAATGATCTTAACAGATGGCGGGATGCATCTTAAGCCTAACGTAGTGGGTGACAGTAATGAAAAAAACAAATATTAGATAAAGAAAATACATTCCGGACTGCTGGATCAGTGCAATCATTTTTTTCTCCTTCAAAGAATAAGCCCTTTGGCTGTTTGTTTCAGACTTGTGCAAAACAGGAAAGAATGTGACACTATCATAAAACGTAAGAAATGACAGGCAGTTTTTGGGGTCCTTTTTTGTTTTTTTCTTACCTCTGCCGGGTGAGCTAGGAAAGAATGCTGTTGTGTTTTTGGAGTTGCCGTGGGAACAATCATTTTGGAAAAACCACACAGAAGCCAGAGAGATGGTTTGTGAAGTGGCTCTGAGGCCTAGTGGCCAAGGGCCAGGGCAGTGGCTGACTGTGGATCTGCCTTCTTGGCAGTCGGCTGAAAAACTGGAAAATGAATTCCTTGAATTTGCACTTGGACTCACATGACATCATCATGTGTCGTTTCGTTCTGTGACATTAAAACAATGTGCCCTAGAAGAATCTCAGAGCTTTGCTGCATTTAGAAGAGATTTTTAGCAAATTTAAAGACATTTAATTTTAGTCATATACCTTTCCAGATACATACTGTAAATTGGGGACCTTGCCTTCTCAAGTCTACCTTAAAAACTGAATACTACCTGGATATGAGACCTATTCTGTACTCGCTTCATGGATCTTAAGGTGTTTTCAGTGACTTCTTATTTAAAGTTGTTTATTTATTTATTTGATGCTAGATAATAATAATATCAATCAGGTCTTCTGCAAAATTTAGGATTTAATTCACTTCTCTGAATTTGTTTTGGATTTTATTGCTCTGGGTCCTAGGCTCTAGATTCTAGATGATGGTACCTTCTGTGTGTGGAGTTTGCATGGTGAATTTTCAGTTGATGCAGCAGACCCCATCCAAATTCCAAAAACATTCTCGTGTAGCTAATTGAGACTTCTAAATTGTCTATGCATCCTGCGAGATAGTGTTCTATCGTGTGCTCTGTCCTCTCACTGATCACAAATGAATCGTTTTTTTTTATTATGGATTGGTAGCATGCTGCCACCTTCTGGGGTGAAAGGCAAAAACCTAAATGTACAGCTGTGTGTGCATGTGGTTTTCATCAAGAGTTTTCAAACCTCCCCTCCCTTCAGAATGATGGGCGTACTAATACAATGTGACTGAATTGCAATATTCTGAGAAAGGAACTATGCATAACTATGCCAAATAGTTGTAATACTGCACATGAATGCTGGGTTATGAAAGCCATAGCAAGAATGTAACACACTCCACGCTCTTTTTGAAATCTGCCTCTCGCGTTATACAGGTGATCACATTTCCTATTAAAATATGTTGCCCATCTTTTCTGCCATTTGTTGTACTGTTGCAAAAAAATGTTTGTTGCTTTATTGATTTTAGATTGAAATATACATCAGTTAGTTTCTAAATAAAGAAACATTCAGTTGTGGTGTAGACTTCAGCATTATCAGGTTACATTTAAACGTGGAGCATGTTTACCCGCTAACCTAGTAATGTTAGAAATGTAGTGTAACGCATCTTGGCTTAAGTACAGTATGTGGATAAACTGTGGTTTTTCACTTGTCATATAGAGATGGCCTTCCTCAGATATTGCAAGCATAGTGACAAATTAATGGATTGCTTAGCATGACTAGAGTGACCCCTGTTGGAAGGAGGTTTGAGGTTTCACTGGTTGAATGCCTTATGAGAAAAGATAGACACTTTATTGATCCTGTGAGGGAAATTGCAGTGCAACAGCAGCTTAGCACAGTCAACACAGCAACAGTGTAACGAAATAGTACAATACATCCAGTACTGTCAGTAAAGTCAGTGAGAAGTGCACTTAAAAAAAAGTTGCTCACGGTACAGAATATACAAAATACAGAACAGTACACAAAAAGTTGTATTGCACATTATAAATCTAAAAATATATTGCACAAGTCCCTAGCATATATTACACAAAAATCGGTTGTAAATGGGGGAAAAAACAGATGTAAGCAGAGAGTTTAATGTTTAGTCCAAAAACAGGTCAATGTCAATGTTGCCCCTGCCCAGACACACAATGGATGAGTTGTACAGAAAAGCCTTTGGACATGCGTGCTAAAATCCGCATTGCTAAAGATACTTAGAAATCGCAACCAGCACTTTTGTCTCGCGGCAAACCTCGTGCACTTACTATTTCATTACGGAGGAGGAAATCTGTCAGTAGTTGACCCACAGTGAAAATAAGAACAACCTACCCCAAAAAATGCAGCCGTCATGATAAAATACTGGGCAAAACTGTCATTATAACCGAAACTCCTTATCAACCTCTGTGCTGCTTGACTTAATGTGGAAATTAAATTCTCCCAGTGTCCTCATGCGGTGAGAGTGACCCCGACTGGCTGACGGTGACACCGTTGTCACTCCCTCTCTTTTGCAGCACGCTGTCCCAGTGCTGCCATGCGATGGTGGCCCTGCTCTACCCCTTCGCCTGGCAGCACACCTACATCCCAGTGCTGCCGCCCTCCATGATCGACATCGTCTGCACGCCCACCCCGTTCATCGTGGGCTTGCTCTCCAGCTCCCTGCCCAGACTCAAAGAGCTGCCCATTGAGGAGGTGAGTCACGTCTTCACAACGTAAGAAAGGGTTACAAGCGAGACGAGAGCAGCCTATTCTTCCTCATCCTGCTGCTTCTTGAAGGATCCCAGGGAATAAGCTTTAGCAACATGTCTGGAAATGGCTTCCTGCCAAACACCCACCACACGTTATTTAAAGAAGAGCTTCCTGTTTTTAACCCTTAATACACCACCACATAACTTCCACTTGTACCTCCAGTTCTCTGTCTCATTGCTGAGCAATGGATGTTCCATTGGGTTGACTTGCTCTCTTTGAGTTTTCCTGGGAACTTGTCAAAATCTCCTGCATTCAAGACTGAAAGAGGAGCCTTTCCTTTAACCTGTATGTGTGTAACATTCCTATAAAACTTGGCTTTAGTCTGGTCATTGTTCTTTGAAGTCTTGCCAGGTCAGCAATGTCTTTTTTTGTACAGAGTTGACCAGAGGCCCACTCTTCCCTCTCAGGGAAAAAAAGAAATGTCTCCTGCTGTCCGGAAGTACTGTTTTTGCACTGTGCACATTCCATTTCCAAGATGTTTTTAATGTAAACACCGTTATTATTTCTGCAGCTCTAAACTGACAGCTCTTGTTTCTTGCTGACTGTATAAGTAGGCACATAACCACCTTTATAATTAGTGTGCACAGTGGTACAAGTACAGTTGCAAATGGAGCTGAAATTACAATTGGATGGTATAATTCTTTGTCTTTTAACCCTACTCCAGTATTTCCAAAATATTTACAGAAGTTTCACATATATCCCAGGATTCTCTTTGACACATTGATTTTCAATTTTAGTTATTGTGGAGAGTGGGGTATTCTACATAAAGAATACAAATAATGAATTGCGTTATGTTCACATGTTGTGCGTAAGATAAAAGGCGTTGGTTCTTTCCTTTTATGTGATCTTCCAGCTATAGGCATTGTGTACCATAGTGATTTACTTTAGACATCAAAGGTCCTTGGCTCTTTCCTCCTCAAAACAATGGCCAAGATGGGCATTAAGCACAGGAAAAGGGCTGAGTTCATTCACTCGCAGGAAATTACATAATCTTTCCTACTGTTCTAATTCCCAGGTTTTGGTGGTTGACCTTGGTAACAATCGCTTCCTCAGACAGGTAGGCTGGCCTTGTGTGTGATTCACTCTTGCTTGAGTCATAGCCAATACATCTGAACAGACACCTGCTCCCATGTCACATGCATAGCTGTTTCACATTTGTCAGGCAAACAGTCCTTTTTTACTAAAGCAGCCACCTGGAACAAGATAAGTCAGTATTTTCAATTCCATAATCACTAAAATGGTTGTTGGCAATAAAGAGGTGGTCCTGTAGTAAATGAAACTACAGGACAGGCTTCACTTGATGTAGATTTGTACACAGAACTTATTTAGGTAAAGATGGTTTTTGAACACTTAAAACCAAATTGGAATTTTGCAAGGAAAAATCTAGATTTTTTATCAGCAAATCACAAAAGCAAAGTCAGTCAAATAGTAATTTATGTTCCTATAACAGTTTACAATCTTTTCGGTCAATTGTCTCACTGAAAAGGGGAAAAAAGAAGAACATGATTCAAAGAGTTCTGTTTTAGCAGTAATATATTTTATTTACAAGTTCTATTCTCATATTACAATTTTGTCGAATTTCTTACTCCTAATTTACTCTAAAGTAAGAAATTATGACCGTTACTCTCAAACGTGTAGGTGCTGGAGCAGTATATAAAATATATTACTTATCTGAAAAATCTCCAAAAACACTTTACAAAATCATTTTTTCAGAGAAATTATTTTTTAAAATATGATTTTACTAGACTCATTCTAAGTAAAGCTGTTCAGAATTTTCTTGGACTGAACACACAATTTATGTTGAGTCAACAGTAGAGAATTCCTTTACTGTTTTTGATCAGGACTTTTGTCCACCTCAAAATTGGTTAATACAATCAGCTGGTGAGAGATTGCTGATCTCAAGAAATGTTAAGCTTGAAGTCCATTCAAAATAAAGTCTACCTGATAACTCATTCTAGGCCTTTCCTTTTATCTTTCTCTCAGATGGATGATGAAGACTCTATTTTACCTCACAAACTCCAAGCTGCTCTCGAGCATGTTCTAGAAAAGAGGAAAGAACTAGCATGTGAGACCTCAAATGGTGAGTATTTGTATTAAATATCTGACCATGTTTCAAAGCCGTTTTTGCATAATTGTTTTGGCCTTTACATTCTGACATCAAATCCAGAGAAAAATGTAGAATTGTACTGGGAGGAAATTCTCTTTTCCTCAACAAAATTACTGAAATTATTTAAATTATGTTTCAGAAGTGAAATGTATCCTTTCAATCCAGTTTCACTGTAAATCTAGGCTAGCAACCCACTTTGAGTATTTAAATTTACAGCAGCTAACAGAATTGCAATGCAGATTTTTAACAAACTTAAAAAATAAACAGTTTAAGGTTTATTCCATGCTGAAAGTGTCACCTGAAAAAGACTCCACGGCTGAAACATCGTGAATCTTTTCTTTTCCTTTCAGCATTGAATAAACCGTTACCTGATCCTTTGCATGCTGACACATCTCCCTACTTGAACTTCTTTAAAAAAATAAACACTAAGTGTGAACTAACTTAAAAATGTACTAAGTGTGACTTTCAATTTGATCCCTCTTCCCAATTAGACTCCAGCTCTCTTAGCACGGTGGTGTCTGAGGCCTTTGTGCGTTTCTTTGTGGAAATGATGGGTCACTACCCACTCTTCCTGAGCGTGGCTGAACGGGAGGACGAGGCCGCCACCTTCCAGCGGGAGGCCTTCCGCAAAGCCATCTCCTCCAAGAGCCTGCGGCGTTTCCTGGAGGTCTTCATGGAGACGCAGATGTTCACTGGCTTCATCCAAGAGCGGGAGCTGAGGCGCCAGGGCCTGCGAGGTAACATAGAGTCAGGAAAACACTGCAAGAAATGGTTGCCTAGCAGCGCTAGGGGGCTGGCTCCACTTCTGGACCTGGGATTCTGTCTGCGTGGAGTTTGTATGTTTTCCATGTGTTTATGTGGGTTTCCTCTGGGTGCTGTGGTTTCCTCCCACAGTCCAGAGACATGGTGTTGGGTTAATTGGCTTCTGGGAAAACTGGCGCTGGTGTGAGTATGTGTGTCTGTGTCTGTGTGCCCTACTGGTGTCCTGCCCAGGGTGTATCCTTCCTTGTGCCCAGTGCTTGCTGGAATAGACCCTAGCTGCCGTGTCATCCTGAATTGGATGAGGCATTGGGAAAATGGATGGATGGAAATTTTATTTGAACTGAAGGTTGTTTGAATTGAAAATTGTCTCAATTTTCCCACTCAGAAGAAAGATCGTGTGGGGAAAAAAAAACATCTATAATCATGTAATTTAATTGGAAACGTTACAAACATCAGGTGGCCATTCAACTTTTATCTAGCCTGTTTGGTAATTGATCTGAGGACCTTAACCACCTGCATCTTGAAAGAAGACAAAATATTGGCTTCAACAACGGGGTTGAATACTTGTTAACTTGAATTAGTGGATATAAAATGCAGGTCTTATTCTTTAAAAAAAATATTATATTAATATTACTCTGTAGAGCTATTAGTAAGAAGGGACAGTAACTCTTAAAAGTGATTGAATAAAATGCAAAGGTGCAACATAGACCAGATTGACAACACAGAGAGAAATCTGTACAAAAAATTTATTTTGTTGATTTAATAACATTTTATTTGAATGTGTCATAATTTACACTAGAAATAATCAGCTCAAACCTTGGTGAAAAAATGAGAGGTCTACTCTAGTTGTGAAGTATAGAATTAAAATCATGGGATAAAGTATTAAAATTGTATAAAGGCCTCTTTTAGAATATTGTGTACAATCTTGGTCACCAGATTAAACAAAGACTGCTTTGGAACCAGTCCAGAGAATAGCAACCAGATGCATTCTGGGACTTAAAGGAATGTTCTCCACCAACATGTTTCAAGAACTGAACCTTTTCAGTCCTGAACTTAAAATACTACTACCAGGAAGCCTGATACAAGTATAAATCCTCAAAGGCATTGACAAAGTCACAACACCAAGAACTTCTTCAGAATGAACAGTGAAATACAAACCAGAGGAAACAAATGGAAACTACATGGAACTGGATTTAAAATCCAGAACAGGAGGCACTTCTTTACCCAAAGGGTTGTGGGAGTGTGGAACAAGCTACCAAGGCATGTGGTAGAAGCCAATACTATGGCTTCCTTCAAGAAATGGCTTGAGATGAGATCCCCAGATCAATTAACTACTATCATACAGTCTAGATATGTTAGCAACTACTAATTAAGTAATACTTTAATTTTTATTTTTGGCTCATCCATCTTTCACAGAACGCCATGTTTCTCTTTCCAGGCCTGTTCGAGGTGCGGGCACAGGACTATCTGGATTCCCTGCCAGGGAGTGAGCAGAGTGGAGTCAATAAATTTCTCAAAGGTCTAGGTGAGGAAGCAGTTCAAACTCCTAATTAGCAGTAGTGGTTCGTTATGCTAATTACATAATAACAAAAAAATCTAAAGATCACTTCTTTAGTAAGAGAGAAACTCGGGCTTGGCATTGCTGCAGAGGAAAAGCTGCGTGGTTATTCCACTGCTCGTAAAAATCTGTCATCCTTACGTACCAGGTTAAGCTCATTGGTCCTGCGCTCACTAGTGGTAAAGTTAGCATAATAAGATAAAGCTCATGATGAAAATGAATACCATCCCTTCTGTAAAAAATTGAGTTCTTTGTCCAAAGTACTTTATACAGTATATTAGACCCTTTATACAGCTTGATATTTTACTAAATCAATAAGAGTGCTATCCACTGTCCAAAGGTATGACACTAGTATCCCACCTAGGTTTCGCACCCCCAACCTTCCAGTTCTAAGTACAGAGCCATAACCACTCCTTCTATGCTGTTTTCTGTTCTCTGCTCCTCAAGCCCTTATTAGAACATAGTTCCCAAAGTATAACATCATGTTTTATTCAAATAACTTGTTCTGCCTGTAATGTTGCACTCAGTGGCAGAGGAGCTACAGCCTTAAGACAGGGGGTGGTGTTCAACGGGGACAAAACCCAAAGTGAACTTTGCCTGGGAAAAAAAAATAACTGTCGAGGGGTAGACCTGTGAATATTAAGAGGGCAACTTACAGGGAACTTCCAAGGGTCGTCTGAGAGCCAGTTAAGTTCGGGACATGAAAAGACGGTCCGCAAACCATTGTCAGCAATCGGGAATAAGGGACAATCCAAGAACTGAAATCTGAGTAACATACACTAGAAAGCCGCTAAAACTCGGGGGGAAACACATTCAAAGGCACAAGTGGAACTCTATGGCAGAGTGAGGGGTACTGTCTTCAGGAGGATTAAATATCCGCTGATGAACAAGGTAATTAATAGATTCATTACATTCAGGTGGTAGTGATCTCCATCCTGATCGTGTTACTATGGTAACTGGTGCAGTGGGTGGTTGCCTCGAGACTGAGGAATCATGGTTGTGTGTACCAGTGGAATTTCGGCTGTGGTTATGTACACCCCCTTTTAAAAAGCTCAAGTTTGGTACCAATTTACACTTTCAGGAAATTAACCTGAAAAATGCCACAAAAGAAAATCGCTGTATGATCTAAAATAGGCAGTTTCAAAACTCAAGTCTTTTGGTACAATGACCATTTTATCCATTGTATGAAATATATGCAAGTGTTTTTGATTTGATTTTGTAGTTTCCAGTACAAGTAGCCTTAATGTTTTCCAAATTTTCATTTCTGAAACAAATACTGACCAAACACTTGCTTTTTTTGGCTAATTATATCGTCGGAAGAAATGTCAAGGATAAATCAAGGATATGAGTAAATTTGGAACCAGCTGTGCCTAGTTATCTGTTGAAGCTGAGAAAATCACAGATTTCAAACAGTTAATATTTCAAATGATATATTAAAATTAAATGTAAAGGGTTAAATTATGTATAGAAAATCAAAAGGCTATAAAATATACTATTATAAATGACACAAATGCCCTGGCTCCCTCCTGACCCTGTATTGGATAAAGTGGTTAGAAAATGATGGATAGATACACTACAAATGCAAGTTATATGGAGAAAATAGTAGACAAAATATAAATAAATTTATTGAAATATATAATATATTATCAATATGTATCATAGCTCTGGGCTATTTTTTAAAGTACTCATCCATAATAAACCTAAAAAAAAAAAAACATTTTTAACGAAAGTATAATATGCAACGTTTGGAATGGTTAAAGGTTACGTAGCACAATCCAAAATTACAAAACAAGACTGCTGTTTGAAAATGTATGTTTTTGTGCACATTTATATTGCTTTAGGAATTATCAGGTGTTTACGAAGAACCACAGTAATACGTTCACATTTCTTTGGAATTGATTGTGTTTGCCAATACAATAATCTCTTATTTTCTTCTTGTATTTCTAGGTAACAAAATGAAGTTCCTGTCCAAAAAATGATGACGAATTGGGGACAAATAGATATTTATATGTATGGATCCTTCATATTTCTCGATTTTGGATTTGTTTTTCATCTGTAAATTGAATTGGGAAGCAGCCTGACGAATTACAATCATCTGGTTTCGATATATGGCTTTGGAGACACTGGCAATGAAATAACAGGCTTGTGTCCTGTGAAGGGATGTGTTGAGTACCGAATGAGACATGGAAGAAAGAGACAGCCCTTCTACTGCAGCCCTCCTGGGGAAACTCAGAATACACTGTTAGAGCCTTTCTGCTGTCAGCTTGTACACAACTTCTACAGTGGGATGAAGCCGAAGAATCTCTAGGAGTATCACAACGATTACAGACTAACATCTCGGATATGAAAGCTCTCCAAGTGTAATCCAGATCACAGCCTCAAATTGTCAATATGGTCCTAATTTCAGGTCTCCAGTATATGATCCCTGTCTCCAACAACGTCCCAGACTTCACCGTGCAGTGTGTGGCTGTTGCAGTTCAACAGCTTGCACTGAATATTGACTTGCTCATCATTCCACCTTCGACATCACCTCTGACAGCCATCCTCCTTCTCCGAACCACTGGGAAGTTCCTTGATCTGAATCAAAGAGTTTACCGTTTCGCAAAAGTGGGCTCATGTATAGCATTTTTCTACTAAACGGGATTTTACTTTTTAACATTGTACAACTTCTTCTGCAACAGGAGGCTACAATTTAATTTATGTTACCTTTTTGACATTTTTTTTTCTGTCCATTTAAAAAAAAAACATTTATTGTAATTTCTCACAAAGAAACTTATGAGCTTTTATTTATCAAGTCTTAGCGCATATTTGGAAGGAAGACCACTCTGGCTAGGCAATGGACTGTACCACTATGTCTAAACAAAGGACAGTGTATCTGATATTTTTGAGAATGTACCAAAGGGATTGAGGTGAAAGGAAAAGTATGAACAGTGTTGCAGTATGCTTTTTAAAGACATGTTTTAGAAATGCCTAGAAACTTCTAGAAAAAGTGGAGCGTGTGGTTGACTTAAAGAAGGTTAAATGATTTTTTTTCAGAATGAATAAGCTGTAGAGATGGGGGTGTCAGCTCCCTAAGACTTACTTTGTATGACTATTTGCCAGTTATTGCCTATTTTGAAAGACCACTAGATTTCTTTTAAACCTAATTTGATTTTAAGGAGCAAAGAAACTGTATCAAATAAACCAATTTTTAAAAAGAAAGGTGTTGACCATGGAAAAGTCTGCATTCATGGCTTTGTTTCAGAGCACTTTTTTTCATTGTACTGTACCATAAGGCTGTTCACATCTGTGGTTCTCTTTATTAACATTGTAGGATAATTTTTCATTGCAGGAGAATTTTTAAATTTAGAAGAATGGAGGTGAAGTATTATTCCTTACAGGTAAAAAAAACAAACATTGTACGATACAATCTAAGGTTCTCAGAAACAAGCAATCACAGGGTTGAAAAATTTAATCATAAATCCATGTATATCTTTAAATGACTTGCAGTTTAAATTAAATAATCAGATTTCATCATAAATGTCATGCAATTCTTTCCATTTCCAGGGGCTCTACCACTATGGATCTCTCATTATAATCTTTGAATGCGAAAACCTTTTGATATAAAAACTAGAACCAAACCACGATGTGGATAATGTTTCTCAAGAATGTTTGAGAAAAAAAAAAGAATCCTTTGCTAGTTTCAATTCTGTCTTTACAATACGGACCTGCTGATACACTGTTTTGACTCTACTTCATGAGAGGCGAGAGAAATACAAAATAAATGTGTTATTTGCTCATTTTTTGTAACTCCCGGTGAACTCGGCTTTAAAGTTTAGAGCCCCCCATTTTAAAAAAAATAGGACATTTATACAAAACAATTAAAAAAATTATGCAGATGTGCAATCAATCAGATGACATCTTAGCGATGACAGACATCTCTAAGTCCAATTGGGGATCAAAGGCTTTTGCTTATGCGGTCATAGAAACCCATGTCTATGTCACGTCCGTTTGGCCTCTGGTTTAACCCACTAATTACAGGGGGTAACTGACAGTCAGTTGCAACTCAAGGGATTATTCCTGAAATAGCTCCTTTACTATTGTACAATATAGAACATAAAAAAGGGTACTGCTGAGTAGAGGCTGTTTGAGCCGTAGATCTTTTTGTTTCTTGCAAGTGATGTGGGCGTCATTAACAGGACATCAGCTTCAACAGTATTATGCCAGCATCCTTCGCTCACCCTGCAGTCTGTGGTTTCCAAATGTCCCAGTATACAGTTGAGGACACTGTACTGTAAAAAAAACCCAGTAAACAGGTCTAAAAAAATCTTTCCTTCGAATGAGATATAAAACTGAGGTCCTGACTCTCCCTGTCAATTAAAATCCTGGGGCATTTCACAAACACAGTAGGGGTGTCAACCAAATTTCCCTGGCTTTTAGGGCTCATGGCCTCCTAATAATCCCTAATATATGAATTGGCTTCATCACTGTTCTCCTCCCCACTGATAGCTGATGTGTAGGGAGTATATTGGCGACTTTGGCTGCTGTTGCATCATCCAGGTGGGGGCTGCATGCTGGTGGTGGTGGAGGGGAGTCCCCATTACCTGTAAAGTGCCATGAGAGTAAGTATTATTATTATATAATAACACTATATAAGTGTAAGTTATTATTATTATTACCCATAATATCAATATTAATAATAATAAACATCACCAGGTGCTGTTGCATTCTCTTGCCAACCCTTTGCTTTAAGTCATTTGGATTGCTTTGGCAATACATTTGAAGGTTTTTAACATTTGAATCAAATACCCTCATAGCGTTCTCTTTTTGGGAATAAAACATTTTTTAAATTAGTGCCTGCACAATTAACATCCATTGCCGGAGCATTGCTACAGTACATTTTAAAACCCTTGATTACCAATGTTCCCCTACTGGGAATTCTCATTCCCCCAGACATTCTATAGATCCATCCAGCCATTTTCTTAATGCTATATTGAATCCAGGGTTGTCAAGGAGCTGAAGCTTATCCTACTGTAGCAAGCCACAGGCACAAGGCAGGTACAGGGTGCCAGTCCCTCAGCACACACACACACACACACACACACACACACACACACACATTCACAAAAGAGCCAGTTTTCCTAGAAACCAATTAACCAGCCATTATGTCTTTGGACTGTGGGAGGAAACCAGAGCACCCAGAGGAAACCACATATGGATTGCAAATAAAAGCCTTTCTCAATTCACAGTGAGTGTCATTACTCCCACTATCCAAGCTGTCCATCCAATTTCACTGTAATACACAACATGACCCAAACAAAATGACTGAGCTTAATGAAAGCTTCATAAGCACTTCTACTCACGTCGACATTAAACACATTTACTGCATTCATTGGAGACAGCTGAGGCCGTTTTGCCTTTTGACTTTTAATAGCCAGCAGCCATATCACTATGTAACTCACAACTGGCACCCCACTGAGGCTCAGCAGGTGTGAGCCTGGTCAGTACCTGGATGGGAGACCTCCTGGGAAAAACGCTTATAGCGAAATATAGAGCTTTTCTGGACACTCCCCTCAAAGCGCTTTACAGTAATGGGGACTCCCCTCCACCACCACCAGTGTGCAGCCCCACCTGCATGATGCGACGGCAGCCATAGTGCGCCAGAACGCTCACCACACATCAGCTATCAGTGGGGAGGAGAGCAAGGTAATGAAGACAATTCATAGATGTGGATTATTAGGAGGCCATGACTGGTAAGGGCCAATGGGAAATCTGTCCAGGAAGCCAGGGTTACACCCCTACTCTTTTTGAGAAACGCCCTGGGATTTTTAATGACCACAGAGAGTCAGGTCCTCGGTTTTACGTCTCATCCGTAGGATAGCGCCTGTTTACAGTATAGTGTGCCCGTCGCTATACTGGGGCATTAGGATTCACACAGACCGCAGGGTGAGCACCCCCTGCGGGTCCCACTAACACCTCTTCCAGGAGCAACCTTTGTTTTTCCCAGGAGGTCTCCCATCCAGGTACTGACCAGGTGCACACCTGCTGAGCTTCAGTGCGTTGCCAGCTGTGAGTTGCAGGGTGATCTAGCTGCTGGCAAAAACATTCTGATTTCATTCTTATAGGTTATGAACATTCCTATTTTAAATATAACCTGAAAATTACTTTCAAAACAATTAACCATAACATTTCGCAGATATGCATTCTGCCGCTATGCAATCATTAATACATATTAATTCGGAATGTATAAAAATGAGAAGACTTAATTCACAAATACATGTATAATGTTTTTTTTTTACCGTTGACTTATTGTAGATCTATCATCATTACTCTACCACTTATTTGCAAAATAATTACCGCACCCAATAAACATTTCCGCTTTTTATAGTTTTTTTTTTCTTTGTGCCTCTTCTTTCTGGGATTTATCTCAATATGTTATTAATTTTATCTTGTTTTGGGGTAGTTTCAAATACTGTCCACTAGGCGGCTTCATAGATTACACCCCTAGGGCGACCTCCTAGTAAAAATACGAAAGAAATTGCTACGTCATGGCTTTCCGAAATGCTGAGATTGAAGCGGAAAAATTATCTTCGATTTGCTGGAAATCGAAAACTGGAAGAGAATAAGCGTATTTTAACGGGGTTTTTTTTTCATTTAGTTATGAAAACATTATTATAACTAGCCATTATTAAACCATCAATAAAATAAATTAGGGATTTCCTCTCAGGCGGTTATAACACTTTGAGATTCTTTTTTTTTTCAGTCCAGAGGGTAGGAATTATTCCACAGGGCCTGAATTAAATTCATTTGTTTTTCTCTGTATTCAATTGATGCAATTGTTTCTCAGTAGTAGGGTGTGTTTACTTTTATCCACCTATGACAATCCCTCCCAGCCTTGTCTGTTTTTCTTCATGTAATTTCCTTTTTTTTCCCCCTGCCGGCCACGATCTCTTTTTTCCTTTTGAGATCCCGGAGACCTCCCCTCGCAAACCTCCCTTCTGCATTACGTGCTACCGGTCGATCCTGCTTCTCTCTCTCTCTCTTTCCTCTCCCCTCTGCCTTTCTCTCCAGCTTCATTCCATACCAGAGCTAATTCCTGAAATTCCAACCTTCATTGCGCTCCAAACGACATAGGAAGGGGGGGGGGAGGGACAAAACTCCGCTATTCCATTCAAAATCTATACCCCCAAATCAATTTTACCTGGCAGCTCCCAGCTCTTTGTTCTTAAGTTTCAACAGGTGAGTTTTCTCAAAAGTTTTTATTGTCATTGATCTTCATTAAACCCATTGTTTGTTTCAGTACTAACTCTATTAAAAGTGTGAAAGAAGCACTTACAAATGCCTCACAAACTTCACTCATTTCGCAATTAGCTCTCTGTTTTTTTTTTCTTCTCGCTCTCCAAGAAATCTCGGGTCTTTGACATTTTTTACATTTTTGGACGAATCCTTGTGATTCCTTTCCTATGTACTCGTTACGTTTATGCCGGAACTGCAAGAAAGCTCGAAACGTCATCGACACGCACTTTAACCAACATGCGATGCTAATAAAAACAATGCAAATTGCTTTCGTGCGTGTTTATAGAAGTGTTGCTTCTTTATCAAATAATTGTATATATATATATTTTTTTTTAGATGCACAGAATCTATTTCTACATCTTGTACCTGAAAGGAGCGCAAAACTGGACACCACATGAAAATATCTTGAAAGAAATCAGCTGACTGTGCTATCGTCCAAGTGTAGTTAAGTTATTCGTCTACAGGTGGGTACAATCTTGGAATATTTTGCTGTACAGGCTTCCTTTGTGATACAAAAATAAATTCTTCCTCCTTATTTCAATTATGTAGAGCAGAGATAGTAATAATTATTATTTTAAACTTAATTTCTTAAACAAAATGATTTATTTTTAGTAAAACCTATTTGTACTAGTAACAGTTTACACAGAGATAGCTAATAGTTTATTTTGCATCATGTTTTTGTTTCTGATACTGAGGCATAAATAAAAGCATTGTGTTCGCAGGTGGGAAAGAGTTGCAAACCTTGTTTTGAAAGCAAACTGATTGTACAAAAAGTAAATATTTTCCAGAAAAGTGACGTTCATAAATTGGAAAAACGTAACATTGTTGTAACATGGGCCACATTACTTAGCTGGAAACAAAGCTCACAGCAGTAACAGCTTCGGAAGACGTCTTGTTGTAATATCACACAGTACAAATCGTAACATGCGTTATTTTGATTTCCGTATATTTTGAAAACAACCGAGATTCTGTTATAACCACTGATGGCTGGAGGTCTAATCTCTAAAAACGTGATTATCGTATTTTTAAATTTTTATTCGGGTTTTCGTTCTCGTAAAATTTTACCAAATTAGTAAACGTAAACCTAATGCTTTATGGCTGAATTTTCCAGTAGCGATTGTTATATTGAAAAAGGCAGCGTGTGTTGATTTAAGTTTATTAAATGAAAGATCTGAAGTCTTTTTACGGGAAACTCATTGGTAAAATTTAGGTGGAGGCCTGGTTTACAAACTTCGCTTGCTCCAAGTAGATGAACTGAACTAATAACAGAATTTGAAAGTACTTTAAAACTTAAAAAAAATCACGCTGCCCTTAAAAGTGTCTTGCATCAAAATCCACATAGCGCACGTGTATTTCAAAAACAGTATTAAAGTGGTGAACAATGTATTAATTGTAATGATGTCAATAAGCAACTATAAGTATAAGTACTACTGGAACTTCTGTTGAGTACTTATCCCACGGTTTTATCTTATCTACCACAAACATATTGTGGATAAGAAAGCTGTTAACTGTGAATATAGTTTGCTGTGAATCCTCTTGAAGGAATACGGCTGATCAATTTTCATATTTTGTTTTCTTGAGAGTGCTGAGGCAGTTAAGGTCTGTTTTGTTTTTTTTTCTGGCAAGTATAAATTACATTATATACCACAAATCTGTGTTTGTGTTTGGTCCTTATGGACCACGGTGTTTCTTATTGAGTTCCCATGTTCTAAACTAAGTATTTGCTTAAGCTGACTGATTTTAACACTTCCTTAACAATTCCTGAGGTACTGTGTTCCTAGGGATTCGGAGAAACCCTTGGAACATGTTGGTCTGTGGCTCTCACAGACAGGAATTGGGAAGCAGCTGGTGTCTGTATTCTCACTTATGTTTATAATAAAAAGAGAGATTACAGAATGAAAGCTGATTTAATCTGACAATGAATGTGTCCATTTAAATATTTAACAATATTAGCAAGGAACTCTGGGGATTAAGGCATTTGGAAAGCCACTTAAACTCACTGCTTATGTTGAATCAGTTGAATTCAGTTTGAATCAGCAATACATTTTATGTTTAACGAGCTCATTGTATGTTGAACACCATTTCACAGCAAAGATGGAAGTAGAAGAGTTATTTGGGAAGCACGAACCAGTTATAATGAAATATCTACTGATCTACTGAACGCAGAAAAAAAGGTGTTGCAGGGAAAAAAAAATCTAGCACTTATATACAACGTTTTAGATTAGCTAAAATAATCAATGTATAAAACAAAAGAAACAACCCTGATTTTTCAAATTTGAAATTTCATTGTTTGGAACCGGTTAAGGGAGCAAATATTTCGGTGGTTAGGATAAGTGCAACACGTTTAGGGAAAGTCCGAGAGAACAGATGTGCTTTAAGTTTAGATTTGAACTAGAGGGGGTAAGGGCTTTTCTGACAGCAACAGGCACAGAGATCTAGAACAATAAAATAGAAAAAAAATGCTGTGTGTGTGTTAGAGGGAGATGTATGTCTTCAGACCTTGAGGGCAGGAGTGAGTATTATGACACTGTTTCATAAAGCATAGAATATCACAAGAAACTTAGCACCTTACTTACGCATGTGTGCTTTCAGAAAAATTAAGTATGTTTGTTTCTCGTCTTTTATTATGTTTTTGTTTTTTGGTGTTATTTTGATTATCCGTTACTTTCTGTATATATTGATATACCAGGGTGAGAGATTTGTGGTCACAGGTGATAAGGTGATTTATCCTGTTGTGAATGTCATTCTTGGTTAAATTTCTGTAAGAACAACAGAACTTGGAAGATCAGGAAAACAACAACAATTTTGTGCCATCAGGTTGCCTTAAACTGGCTCACTGTCCCTTGTCATCTGGGTTGAGCACAGCTGACATTTATTTCTTTACCTGGCAAGATGTGAAAGTCAGACATAGACCCGTCAATGACAGATCACGATCCGGCAGTGATGATGAGCCCTGACACCTTGCCAAGATTGATGGGAGGGCCCGAGTGTGAAGGGTTTGGCCAGGGGTGTCTAGTTTCTGCAGAACTCCATTTGTGGTGATTGATGGCAACCTGACTGAATGGCGCTATGTTGATCACGCCCTGGGACCTCACCTGTTTCCCTGCCTTTGAACTCATTCTGCCCGTCCTCATGTTGCTAATGTAAAAGCAGCTTTCTTGCAAGATGAGAATGTGAGGGCTATACTGTAATTGCCAAGACCTAAGCCCCATTGAACATCTGGAGGATGATATTGGATGACATGTGGCATCCAGGGCACAGAGAAGAGTGTTTCCAGGCTTATTTCAGGAAAGAGAGGATTCTACAAGACACCATATGAAACCTGATGTATGGCACAACAGTTTCCAACAGTGGCCACACATCACTGTGTGGAAAGGTGTGTTCACTGGGAGCACAGAGTCGTCATTTTCCATTTTCCTTTAGTTGTCCAAACTTTGCATTTCGTTTTCCTGTATGGCCTTAAACCATTTTGTGTGTGGCAAGGGATCAAACCTGTAGATCTCTAAGAAGGTTATATAATGAGATCTGGCTTGAATGAGTTACACGATGCATTACTAAATGGTAAATGATCATCTTAAATTTTTTCCTGTGTATTGCGTACTGTAAGATTCCCAGATTTGACTTTTTTTGTCACAGTTTAAGAGTTGCTCCATTTTTGAGTCAATGTGCATTTTTCTCTTAATGGAACAAGTAATAGGTTTATTCCATGCTGAAAAGAGAAGAAAGGAAAAACGTTTCGGGCTGTGGAGCCTTCTTCTGGTGGCAAGACTCCACAGCCCAAACGTTGTGTTTTCTTTTGTCTCTTTTTCAGCATGGAATAAACCTTTAACTTGTTCCTTTTGCAGCCCACACATGCTGACGCAGCTACCCACCTGAACTACTTTTCTCTTAATGGAGACTTCCTGGGAATTTAATATATAAGAATACTTACAAGCAATGGCTGTTCTAGCCCGTTTGCTAGTTGGTAATTAGTAGCAGTAACTGTTTCCTAAAGGGAACCAGGGTATTCTCTTCAACGACATGACTGGGCAGCTTGTCCTATACTCTTGCAATCCTTTAGGCGAGGAGCTGCCTCCTGTTCTCAGAACAAAACAAATTCTAAACAAATGGAAAGTGGAAAGAGCTAATTCTAAATGCCGAAGAGCTTAGAACTAAGCTCCAGTAACATACATCTGCAGTGTGAGAGAATTCTGCCTTAGAAAGCCGTTATAAAAGGAACCGTGCTAGTGCTTCAAAGTTGAGTTTTACAGTTTTATAGTCAAGCCTACTATTGCTTACACTGGGAGTATCGTATAGCAACCTGAGTAAGAGACAGAGTATATTTTTGGGAAGGCCTTAGTGGCGCGTTGGTCGTTAACTGTCTGGAAGGTCCCCTGTGGTTTTCCTTTTTATGAATCTGGTTGCCAGTTAGGCTGTATTTTCCGGCGCTTACAACAGGTGGAAGGTGCCTTGGACAGAGAAGTGAGGACAGCTGTGAGACACTCCAATTATGAAAAGAGTATTTTTCTCTTTTCTTTTACTTTTGTTCTGAAATCTCTTTCATGCCCTTTCAGCTACAAGGGTCCCAGATTCTGTTTTCTTGCCTTTATACCGCAGTTCTTGAAGATGTATTTGCATAAAGGTACAAACTTTCCTTGCAGTTCTTTTTCTAAAAATATTTGCAAATGATCAGTCAATCATTATAACCAATTATTATATGATCTTCCAACTTCCCATTCAACTTAAAAAGTTGTGAAAATGAAGTCTTTGAAACACGATTACTGAATGTTATCATAGGTTTAGATTGTGTACGGCTTGAACAATTGTCTTTTTAAAAGACTGGATTATTATCATTACACAATTGAAACCTTAATTGATCTTCATTGGAATATTTTTATTTTTTTTCTAGTCATAAAACTGGGGCTTATTACTTAGAAAAAATGTTGTTACCTGGAAGTGCAAAGTTGGTAAATTTGCTTTGAGTACTGTTGCCAAACAGGATGAATCAATGAACTAAACAGGATGTTGCCAAAGAATGAATCATAAAATATCTACTTGCATTAGGTTTTTCTCGTTTGTTTTATTCTTCTGTTCTGCACTTCATTAATTACTTCACTATATGCTGCAACTCCAATTTGTAATGTTTAAATATTGCAAAATGTTTATGTTGGCTAAACAACATTTCTTTGGGGGAAATAATAAGTCCCGATTTTGTCACTTTAATTTAGAGGTAGATACTTTCCATCCATCCACTTATCCCGGTGAATGTTGGTGCAAGGTAAAATGTAAAAGCCTGGGATTGTGAACCACTGGTGCCCCACACACCTTCCCACATTAAGATAAGATCAATTAATTCGCCCTGTACAATTTCTTGCACTAGGAATTTGTCTTTTCACACACCACAGCTTGCTCTCCATGAGACACACAGATAGGGGGCCTGGGGTCAGAGCGCAGGGTCAGCCATTGTACAGCGCCCCTAGAGCAGTTGGGGTTAAGGGCCTTGCTCAGGGGCCCAGCGGAGTAGGATTCCTCTGCCAGCCACGGGATTTGAACTGGCAACTTTCAAGCCACAGGTGCAGAGCCACAGTGCCATCGCTCTGCCCCCTGTTTTTTTTTAAGATTATGTAGTTATCTACATTGATTAATTCATTCATATCTACATTCAAATGTAGTTATCTACATTCATTAGATAACTGAAGCCTTTAATTGATCTAAGAAATTGCTTCATTAGAATATTGGCATTTTGTTTCTTATCACAAATTTGGGGCTTTTTTCATGTATAAAATCCAACGGTTAAGATGTTTAAGAGCTGGGAACACGCAGTTCACCAGACCCAGAATTGGTATCCACTGCCATAGATGAACTTGAATCCAGGAACCTGAAACTCTAAGGCAACAATGCAACTGTATATTGAATGTCACACCGTCATGCCGTCCTGTGCATGGTGGGGGGGAAAAAAACCTTCTTATATTCACTCTAACAAAATAATGAAGTGGGAATCAAATATTATTTTTATAAATATATTGTTGATCGTGTGCTAAACTGTTCATGGAGATCTTTTGTCTTCCTCTGCAAGTCCATGGTTCTGTGCATGTTTTTTGGTTTATAAGCAAGTAGGCGTTGAAACATAATTGTAATGAAAAGTTTTAAATGAACTTTCTTCTTGTCAGTGCAAAGTGAAAAAATTCCGGGCTTCAGCAGTCGTAGTTATTAGAATACTGCAGTATTTGCAGTTAGAAAGTTTATCGCACAAGCCGTTAAATGTCTTCAGTGCTCACCTTCATAGTAAAGTAAAACAAAATGTGTCCCTGAACCTGACATGTTTTTAATGCTTATGTAAGATATTGTATTTATTCCATCTTTCTTTCTTTTAAGTGGCGGATTGTGGCAGTGACTTCCTGCCACAGGTAAAGTAAAGCTGAGAAGTGTTTTTTTTTCCTCTAGACATTTCAGGAAAATCAAGTGTGTCCTGTAAAAATGTATATACAGTATATTTTGAATAAGCACGCCTTGTTAATGATTATGTGTTGCACTGCAGAATAGAAGCGCTGTTTTATTTTTGAAATCCCAAGTGAAAAATGTCTGGTTTTCAAACCCATTTCACTTGAATTCAGTCCGTTTTCAGGTTTGTTGAATGATGATCGGGAAAGGCACAGAGCAGAATACAAAGCACATCTTGATTGAAAGAATACCCTTACAAACTCTTTACACAGTGGTTATTTACAATTTTTTTTTTATTTAACCAGATTTGTATTACTCATTCATTCAAGGTCATATTTAGATGTTTTTCTTCTTCTCTCCTGGCTTGCTAGCATTGTCCTCCTGTACTGCAGCAGTCCAGTGGGGTTTATGTGGTTCAGCATACATATGATTTCAGTTTGGATCTAGTTGAATAAAGGTGTTCCTGGAGCACACAGGAACAGAGACTGAATGTCGTCAAAGAGAGGCTTGTCAAACAGTGGCATAAAGAAAATTGTTTCAGTGGAATAGTTTATTTAGCAAATACAAGTTCCTGAGCCTGTAGCTTCTCGTTGGGCTGTGTTGAGGGTGTGTAGTCCTCCTCTGAGTCTGGGGGTTGGGCAGTCCTCTAGGGTGTGGTGTGTAGTTTGCTCCATCCCACAGGAGCATAGATGCTTACGCTGATGCCCCATCTATAGAGCTTGGCAAGGTATGAGCCATGGCCAGTCACAGAGCAGTTCTGAGTGGACCACTCTTTCCTTGGAAGGTGAAAGCCAGGGGGTTGTGCGGTTGGGCAGGCGATGAGGTGCTTGATTGTTATGTCCAGTGATTCCCATTCTTGAGCCCAGGTGGAGTCTGCATTGAAATGTTATTGGGGAGGGTTTTTCCAGGTTGGGTTTCCTGATGGCAGAGGTGTCTTTGTTAGATTAAATATCTCCTGGAGCAGTGGCAGATGAAGGGTGTTTTGGATATTTTGAGCATTTTGTGGGTGACTGCGAGTCATTAGACTATTGTTTGCTAGGACCAGGAGCCAGGAGAAAGGTGCAGTGAAGGGTTCCAGTGATGATGTGCATGGTGACATCCAGCTGGGTGTCTACTCTGTGAGTATGTGGTGATCTTGACCAGATGCGGGTATAGTATTATGCGTCTGAGAATCAGATTGTTCCCCGATTTGACCTTAGCTGCTGTTGTCTTTAAGTACTTCTGGAAGATAAGTGTGCTTTTTAGGGTCACCAAGGAATGTTGGAGTAGGCCCCATGTACCTAGGCCCCTTGCCTGTGGAAGCTAATGATTCAAGTAGCAGACTAAATTCTAAGGGAAGCTTCAGGAGAGGAGTCTCAAAGAGTCCTAGTCCAAGTCTCAAAGCCAAGATGAAAAACAAAATGTAAAGAGACGCTAAAAGGGAATAGTTAACATTTCTATCCGCTTGTTCCGAAAGGTTTTCTAAAAAAACTCTTTCTGTTTCCATATTTGAATCTAGCGTGGATGCAAAAACAGAGTGAAGTTTTAATTGACTGAGTGAACAATTTAATGTTGCTCTTTCTGTGTTTCCCATGTTGGAGTATCTTCCATTTCTGTTGTTCTTGCTGCCAAACTTTCTTAAACATTCTAAGAATTCTAACAGACAACTTCCAAAAATATTTTTTATAATTTCAACTGGATTCCAAGTTCTATTATTTTTAGATTCATTTGTTTAGTAGATCTCCTTTCCAGATCAAGCTATTGACAAAGGATGGAATCCCAAAGACTAGAAATTAGTATAAATGGATTGGATTCAGTGCAGTAGAGTCTGTACAGAGCAAATCCCACCCTCCAATATTGTTAAGGGAAAGCGCACTCCTTTTCTGCTATTCCCAGGGTCCAAAATGAAGTAGTTCTTGGGTCCAGATAAAAAACAACCCAGCCATGTACTGTACATGGTAAATCAGGGAAGCCAGACATTTGTGCTCAATGTTTTTGGTCTACCTAAAGAATCAGTCATGACCATTGAACTAGGGATGTGTCTGAGCTTTCAGTTTTTAGCATGACAAATCCTCCTTGGACAAATCATTATCCTATCATAAATTATCAATCAAGCCTCATGGTGACTGTTTTAATTAAATAGAGCAGGCTTGGAATTTAGTAATGCTGAAATAACACACAAGTTATGGGAATTTCCTTTAGAAGATTGGTTTCCCATAACATCAATGTTTTCAAGTGCAGTTAATCATTTTTGATGTTATCATAATAAACTAGCTGTAATTTCAAAATCGAATTGATGCCACAGATTGATGTTGCCGTCTCTAAACGTCTGCGAATGCCAACTTCTTGCTCCAGCACAGCAGTACTGCACTCGGCTAAATCCACTACAAAATGAATAGTCTCTTTGTGTCCCTGTTGCAGAGAACAAATGGGCAACTGAACTGAAGTTAACACAGCACTGTCTGTCCGGCTTTATGGGAAGCACTGAGATGAGTGTGCTGAGAGGAAAAGGGTTGATTACCAATTGTTGATTGCGCTCAGACATGACGCACTCTGCCAGAGGTCTGACTCACTGCTCTGACTGTCCCTCCCCTTACTCTGTTGTTCTAGGACCATTAACCCCTCCATCTTATCTGCATACAAATAGGCAAAAAGAAATCATGACCAGCACATCAGGACAAGTACTACACCACCCCTTTCGAAGTTAAGTATTTGTGAAGGAGCTATGCTGCCGATGTTATAAATATTTACAGTAGTATTGTATTAAAACTGCAGCATTTGCCAGAGATATTAACTTCTGGTCTTGGCGTCCTGCTGTCATCCAGTTTTTATTTTGGTAACTTGTCATTCTCAATGAGTAAAAAAAAATTGGAAACAGCTTAAAGAGAGCAAGATAAGATCACTTTATTGGCCATATACAATTTCTTGTATCAGGAATTTGTCTTTTCACATACCCTAACTTGCTCTCCATGAGACACACAGACAGAGAGAGAAGCTTGGGGTCAGAGCGCAGGGTCAGCCATTTATACGGCGCCCCTGGAGCAGTTGGGGTTAAGGGCCTTGCTCAGGGGCCCAATGGAATAGGATTCCTCTGCCGGCCGTGGGATACGAACCAGCAACCTTACAACCACAGTCGCAGATCCTTAGCTACAGAGCCACCTCACCGCCCAATTCACAAACAATTGTTGTGAACAATTGTTCACAATTAAGTGATTGTGTCTGTAGTGAAGTGACAATTAATCACAATTAAGTGAACAATTGTTTCCAATTAAGTCATAAAGACTCCAGAATGAAATGAAAACTAGAGGACAGATGACCCTCCATGCAGATTACAATTAGGTATGATGCATATTTTATTGTAAACAATATCTATTTACTGTAGTAAACACATGGAAGAATGCTGATGAAGTTGAAGTTTCAATATGAACATCTAAGTATTTTTCATACATCTAAGGTAGCTTCTTTCGGCTCATTCCCAAGTATCCCATCTTAAATTTATAACTTGTTTCTGCTACCTGCGTGTAACAGTTGTCTGCTTTGTCTTGAGGTTTGTCTAAATCATTTTGAATTCCCTTTGCAGTTTCTACTATGTTTGCTTCTCTATCTATTTTCTTTCCTGCTAAATTAACTAGATTACTTATTAAGTACTGTACTAATAGAATCTACATCATTGATAGAAATTAGAGAAGTAGATTTGTAATTTAGGATGCAGTGAACATCTTCTTCATTACCACTTTTATGAACTATATTATCCTTGTCTGTTTATGACAGGATAATAAGTGGATGTCTGGTTGAATCCTCTATTTTAAAGCCTCTATTTAAATAGCATGTTCTCAGAATCAGATTGCATTTAAAGATGAGAAAAAACCATTAACCTTTAGGTTTTACCTTTTTAAACCTAAACTTAAAGCCTAGTAAATTACTTTTCTCACCTAAAAAAAGTCATTTCTGTCTCAGGTTCGCTGAGTTACATTCCTCAGATTTTGTCCATGATTTGTTTCAAATGACCAGAAGTCATTGGGAAAGCACATGCAGTATGTACAGTAGGAAGGAGATGTAATGGGTCTGCTCCTTGAAGAACGCAATTTTAAAATCAAATCAGTTTTAGAAGAAACGGGCAGGCCTTGAAATCTTTGTAATACGGGCGTGTCTGCAGTGTGTTTCCATCCAGTGAAGCAGAGCCAGTAGTTTTCTTTTGTTATCTGGATGGTTTAGTAATAATAAAGTCATATCAGCTACATGTAGTCTTTTTTTTCTGTTGGATTAAAGTTTGATAAAAAAAACACATGGGGCCATAACCCTCTTTCTGATCTCCCCAGGAACTCCAGTGCCTGCCCATCCCCACCTCAAATCTCTACCACCCTCACCTACCCCCGCCCCTCCTCCCCATCACCTCCACCCTCATCACGTCACCCTCCCCCCATCCCAGCGGCACCACGTCGGCAGACTGGGTCCAAGCCCCCTCTCCCGGGGGGAACAGCGAGGAGCTGAACGAGTCGCTCGACAAGCCCCTGGAGAATGACGCAGAGGGGGTATGGAGCCCCGACATCGAGCAGAGCTTCCAGGAGGCCCTGGCCATCTACCCCCCTTGCGGCCGCCGCAAGATCATCCTCTCCGACGAGGGCAAGATGTACGGTACGCCATGACCCTTATGCCACACACAGGTGTGTGGCTTTGTAACGACATAGTTCACCTAATATCTTGATTGAGGCGGACTGTGAGGCCTGTACCCTCACATCTTCACTACTGGTAGGGATTGCTCCCTAAGAATGTGTCTCATACAAGTTCAGACAGCCCTGGTTTCTGCCATTCCAGTCGATTGCATGTCCTTGTTCTAAGTGCTTTGAGTTTATTTGGATGGTCTTCAGCAGCATGGATGTTAAGGGCCAGTTGTGTATCTGAAGCAGTGGATGGAAGAGTTTCATGCTCATCTGCTTTCTTCTTTATCTACTTCTCTACAAAATTCATTGAGCCGCCAAAGGTTTATTCTTAATAAGCTGCTTTAAATTGAGATTAAAATCTTTACTGAGCACCATGTACTGTGTATCAAGGAGCAATGAAGTTGTGAGGTGCTGTATGTCTTTTTATAATCTTATGGTTCAAAGTGGTTCAGACTTTATGGCCAGCATGTGTTACTCAGATGCCTGGAGAGGTTGCAGCCATACTATCTAAACTTTATCATAAACGCAGACCGCAGCATACTTCAGGCGCAGATTCCCCATGGATAGGGTCGTTGTACTGGAGTTTGCGTTTGAAGTTAGTTTGAGATGTTAGGAGACGGCGTGTCTATCCTCAGCGAGCTGGATTTTAAGGAGGGGAGAATGTCCTTCCACAAGGGAATGGTGATGAATTCTACGCTCTTTACCCATAGAATCTGGATTATTGCAAGTTAACGCCTGCCAGTTGTGTCATTTCTCTTGGGGGTCATAAAAAATGTCGGTTCACGATGGCACAAGTGTTTTATTTGGGGGAAAGAAAACGTCTAGCTTGGGAACACCAAAATTGAGAATATAGGCAGTACTTCAGCCAGGTTACAAATGAGGGGAAGACATTCAACCCATCTACTGTAGCTTGTTTGGTTGCTAGAAAGAACCTGACCTGAGAATCTCATCCAGCCATTTTGAGAGAGAGCCATCTTTCTTGTTAAAGGCTCCCACATCACTTTGTGTAAAGAAACTCCACATGTTTAAAGACCTCGTTGGACTGTTAGTGTGCTGCTGTTCTAATAGTTGCTCTGTTTCTACTGTGGCCAAGAGAATCGTTGTCCTTCTTTCATCGCATCCTACATAGTGCTGCTTTTTTGTGTTTTAGTGGTAATAGCCTCAGTGAAAGTCATCCTGGAGCTCCTGGTGTGTATTCAAATAATTGTTTAACACTGCCCTGAGGTTAACGATTTTTATTTCAAGCCGTGTAAAGTAATGGGTTATTATATCAAAGATTATGTCCCTGTCACTGTGTTCACTCTGCACAGGTGTATGTTACAACAATAAAATATGAGCAGCATGCCTCGTGTCTGGAAATTAATCTTTCCCTTTATCTAGTTCACTATAAAAGAGGAAAAGTTCAATGGTATTTTTTATTTCCCTGAAGTATACACAATGTCGCTTTCCACTGAACATTCCTCCAATGTTTTTCGAAAAGGTATGTTGATGGTATCTTTATTTAGAGGTCGGTGTTCAAAATGCTAAATTATTGTGTGCAGGCTTATGCTGTGTAAGGTAAAATGTTGAGGTGAAATTAAAATTGACTCTTTAGTATAATTTCCTCTTTTTTAAGATTAAAGATTCATTTCTCTTCTCTGGATTCAAAAGGGAGGACCGAGGTCAAGCCAGAATGCCAGAAATGCCAGAAAGACAGAATGAGTAAAAAACGTTTTACTGCAATTCTTAGAGACTTTTTTTCCCATGTAATATTACACAGAAAATGTTAACTTGATATCATTTAGCATCACATTCCTTACTGGAGGGGATATTTCCCTTATTCTCTATAAAACACAAAAGATTTTCAAGAGGTAGTCCCCAAAGTCACAATGCACAGCTGGGTTTATACAGTATGCCCCAAATAATGTGAACCACCTCCACCGAGTAAAACGTTCCAATTCCATTATGTACTAGGCTATGTGCTTTTCACCGTATTAAGTGAAATACACACATAAGGCATTGACCTTAAACAAAGACGTGACATTTTAACACTTTTGTGAACATAGCTAAATGCCTTGAAGCAATCAGTTAACATGAGAAGAAAAAAAACTACATATGGTAAATTACAATCAAACAGTAAAGGTTTAAGAAAATAATAATTAGGAATGTATGTATTGATAGGTAAGAAAAATGCATGGAAAAATATAAGTAAAGAAAAAAAAGCATATTAATGTTGTGTGTAAATTATTAGTTTTTAACAACCACGGAGAGTCAGGGACTCGGTTTTAATGTCACATCCACAGTAAAGCCTTTTAACACTGTAGTGTTCCCGTCGCTATACTGGGGACATTAGGACCCCACCGACCGCAGAGTGAGTGAATCTCCCTTCTGGCCCCACTAACACCTCTTCCAGCTGCAGTCTTAGCTTTCCCAGGAGTTTCCCATTCAGGTACTTGCCAACCTCACACCTGCTGAGCTTCAGGAGGTTGCCAGTTGTGAGTTGCAGGGTGATATACAGTAGATGCTGGCTGGTTAGTTACTCCTTGTGTTCAGCAGAATTCCATTGATATAGAAGTATTATTTTTCCAGAAAAGTTTACTGCGTATAATGCATTTTCCTTGGCTTAGAATGGAAATTGGGTGCTTGAGACTTAAATAAGATTGCATGATAAACACTATCACTGCTGTTACTTGTCTAAAGTATTGTACTATAATTAGGTTGAATAGAACAGACTAAGACTGTAGGAGATGTTAATTTTAGCCAACTATGCAGGTCTAGTTAGTACCCAAGATGAGGCTGTGTCAAGCAATTTCTTAGAAAAAAGATTCCTGTTCTTCATTGTCTGCTATAGTTGTCTTGAAGCTGAAGCAAGTTTAAATTTGTAATGTGTTTTATTCAATAATCTTCAATTTACTGCTTCTTCTGCATCTTATGAATCTGGTGAATTTTATGGTATTTTGCAAAGCTATGTTGACTTCTACTGGAACTCATGTTAGTATTAAATTGACTTACAGTCAAGTTGTGATCGTTAAGTTTCTTTATGATGTCTGAAAAATGTATCTAGCTGACCTCTTTATCTAAAGTAACAATTAATTACATAGTTATATAAATTGCGATTGTATGTTTAACTCATAAGAAAAGGTGTAGTATACAGTACCATTAAACTGAATCTGCTCGTGGTTGAGAGCAATCAGATAGCTGGATGAAACTAATATTGATAGTTACAAAGTGAAGGAAAAACACATTATAGGTAACCACTGTAAGTAAGATTTAAGACTACAATGCAGTCAGCTTCAATTATCAGTCAGCATAACAAGGAATTGAGTAAGGAATTGCTCATTTGTGGGTTGTGAGATTGTGGTGCTTTTTGTATGTTGCAAGGCAGAGTATTATCTGAATAACCACAGCTACAGGTCTTGTTATACTTACAGTATAGTCTTCTTGTGGTTTGGGTGCAATGCAGTGTACAGGGAAAGGATTGATCTCTATCCGATCCAGAACAGCGTCTTCATTGCTTTTAGGTAGTGAGAAGAGGTATTCCATTCAATGCTCATTTTTTTCTGGAGCTTACATCGGCTTATATTTCAACTTATCTTCAGCAAAAGGTGTCCGAGTAAATGAATTGGCCAGCAAGATCACCTGACTCTGTTCAGTGCAACCCGTGATTATTAGGCGCTTTCATCAGGAACAAAAACACCTACAACTGCGTATGTAGTACAAGATCTCACTTGACTTCACAGTTACAGTTGTGAGTTTGTGAACCCTTTGGATATATCTGGATTTTTGCATTAATGGCTCCTAAAATGTGATCTGATCTTCATCTAAGTCATAAAATTCAAGCAAGCATCATCTTCAAGCAAGACATCCCAAAAATATACATGAACTGAAACAGTTTTGTATAAAGGAATGGGCCAAAATACCTCTTAACTCCACTAGTTAGTAAATATAAGGGTTCACATATTTTTTCCATCTCTTACCTTGATTATTCAATAAAGATATGACAGTGTAAAATGTTGTATGTGTTGTTTGTTAAATAAGAGTATTTATTATTATGACTTAGATGATGATCAGATCACATTTTAGGAGCCATTCAAACTGCCTTGTTATGTCATGGTAGATGTGTCTTGGTGCAGATTCATAAAATAGAAACTTCCTTCTTTAAAATGTGTTCAATTGATGTGTCCTTTTTTATTTAGAGGCCGCAATCAGTCTAATTTATGTAGTCTCCTCACTTTTCTTTTGTCTAAGTTTCCAAGATTAAACTACAGTATATTAACACTAATGTTCAATAACAGAGTGACACCACAGGAGATACACTGTACAGATAATGTCAACCAAGTCACAGGTTAAGGAAGACAGTGTCACTGGTTCCTAAATTCCTGGTCTAGCTAGTAAAGAACATTTGCAAGCATTTTTGAGCCCCTCGGTTCCAATTGCAGTACTTGACAGTACTTCTGAACCGACAGAAGTGACAAAACCAGAGGTTTTGCAAAAGCACTGTACCTTTCAGTGGCTTTTAAAAGGTTCGATCCATTTAAAAATGAGACAGACATTTTTAAAACATTTCTATGCAAATGGACAAAAACAACAATCTGAGCCAGTATGAGCCTGTAAGGAAGATGGTACAAAACCACTTGTTTTCCATCCTTCACTGTGACTTTGGAGCTCAAGGCCAGATCAGACCCTTAGTAATTCCTCCAACCTTATAAAGCCTGTAGTAATGATGGCAGTGAAGTGCCAGGCAGGTGTGACATTCTGCAATGGGGTAGGCCTTTGAGCAGCCTGCTCACACACCCCACTCAAGGGTTACAGCAGGGTGAACCCTGGTGAAGAGTAGAGGCTCATTGAGGAATGGTATGTGGTTCGAACTCGGTTCAAGGCAGCACTGGGTGTAACTCTAAACCAGAATAGACATTTACCCTTTGAGTGTTTGGTAGGGGGAGGGTGAAGCAAATAAACACCAAGGTACTTGTCATGTCTTGTGCTGTATCTGTT